AGGGAAGGTCCGGGCGGAGCCCTAAACTAGAGCCAAAATCTCTCATAACTCATATTTTGCTCATAACTTTCCCTATGCACAAGTGACATTCCACCCGCGGGTAGATTAGTATGCAGACGCCTCTGAGGAACGGTTACATATGAAATACATATTTGAAGGGTTCAAGAGATATAATTTCTCTGCTGTCCTAGGTATTCCAGTCAGGGAGTGTGACCTATCAAACTGTTTGTCTTCTCGTGGCTAATCTGAAGATATACCTGGTTTTTATGTAAGTCTCTCATATTCCAAGATATGAGACATAGGGGAAAAATGGATTTCAAAAATGTTATCTAGTCTCTACTCCTCTGGAATGTGTTTGAACTCAGGGGAAGGCTTGGGTTAACTTTTACAATGTGCTAGATTACTCAGCTTCCCAGCCCGCCTGGCACCCAGCTCAAAAACGGTTTATAGCTCGGGGCTTCCTGCTGTGCCCTGGCCGGCCTGTGACACTTCTAACACACAGGCCATATGTCACTGTGTATGAACTGAGAGGAAGGGGGAGAATGATGGTGAATATGTTCGTACAAGATGGTTGACCCTTTGCCAAGATGGAGGTTGAAGCCAAAATGGTTGAACCGTGTCCATCTCTGGGTGTACGCTTGCTACACAGGGTTTTGAAAAAGAAAAAATAAATTTTTGTTTTCTTTCTTCGTTTTCCAAAAATGTGGCAACAAATGAGATCTGCAAAATACTCACCATGCCTCTTAGCAAATACCTTAAAGTGTCTATTGTCCAAAAAGTGGTCATTTGGAGGGGTTGCTTCTACCATCCTGGCATTTCAGGTCCAACATTTGAAGCTTATGTCACACATCATCACTCTTGAAGACCAAGCCTTTTCTGACACTTTTTGTTCACATTAAAAAAAAAAGTTTTTTTGCTATAAAATTACTTTAAACCCCCAAACATTATATATTTTTTTGAAGCAGAGGCCTTAGAGAATAAAATGGTGGGTGTTTACATTTTTTATGTCACACAGTATTTGCGCAGCAATTTTTCAAACACAAATCTTTTGGGAAAAATACACTTTTTAGAATTTTAATGCACAAAAAAACACAATATATTGCCCAATTGTTTGATAAATTATAAAAGATGATGTTACGCCGAGTGAATAGATACCAAACATGACAGGCTTTAAAATTGCACATACCCGTGCAATGGCAACAAAATACATACATTTTTATTATCGATAGGTGACGCTTTAAAAGCCTTTACAGATCAGAAAATTTATATTTGCACAGGAGGTCTAGTGCTAGAATTACTGCCCTCAATCTGATGTTCGCAGCGAGACCTCACATGCATGGTGCAACTGTTTACATACTGGCACGGGGTCAACGCCTGCGCACGCAGGTGTGTGCGCTCAGGAGGGCAAGGGTGCTTTTTTTTTTGTACACTGTCCCTTTCTTTTTTTAAAATCACTTTTATTGCTGTCACAGGGAATGTAAATATCCCCTCTGACTGCAAAGGGCATTGACAGGTATTCTTTGTTGAGAAATTTGGGGTCTATTAGACTCTAGATACCTCTTCTGACCTTACATCATCTGATCTCACCAAGATCGGTGTGATCAGATGCTTTCCCAATTTACAAATGGCGCTGTTTATATCCTGCGAAACTGAAGTGATAAAATGCTCATAGCTTCTGATTTCTTAGACTATAGAGATGATTGGAGCCATTCTAGTCTCTGATCAGCTCTATGGTCAGCCAGCGGATCTGCTGGCTGCATTCTTGGATTCCCATGTGACAGGAGAGCCCAAGAAAACTGTGGAAAGCAGCAGGAGTGGGGGGATGTCCCTTCCCACTGCTCATAAAAACAATTCAGTAACTAATTGGCCACTAGGATTGCTTTTACATGAAAGCCGACTGCCAGCTGAAAAAAACGATATCAGGGTGATGCCTGTTGCTGCAGGCATCATCCCAGTATAACCACTCAAGTCCAGTGACATACCAGTACATTGCTGGTCCATGTTGGGCATATACTGTATGTAACAGTAGAGAGCACGGATATATGATGAATGGGGTCTGTGGACCAATTCATTCTTATTTGTAATGCCCATGTAGAATTTAAGTCCCAAAAAAGTTATTAATGCAGAAACCATGATAGTTTTCCATGCGAATTGTCTGGCAAGAGCTGAATTTGGGTGGGCGGCCACATGTATTGGTGTGCATATAAATTGCCTTGGCCCACAATCAATTGTTACAAATCTTCCGTTACAAATAGCGGAAGGGCTAAGGCCTAATGCTGGCAGCAAACGGGACTGATCCTGCTAACACTGCATTTTTGGGCACACTATAAAAAGGAGGCACTAGTATAGTTCTGTTCATGATCAATATCTTGATCTGTACAAACTCTATACTAGTAATGGGGGTGATCAGTGACCTATAGCGTGAGTGCGATAGTGTTGGGGCAATCTAACGCTAACTGACCCTGACATTATCTGATGTCGCTAGTGGCAGGAATACAGTGATTAGTGAAAAATTCTATATACTGACACTGTACTAATGGCACTGGCTGGGTGACGGGGTGATCAAAGGTGTGTGTGTGTGCGTGCGTGTAATATAGTTCCGTGTTCTCTGTTCTCTCCCTGGACCAACCAGGGGGGCAGCGGGAGGCGCAATCACACCCCAAAATAGGAAGCGTCACAATACTACGTTGCTTTGCCAAGAGCTGCTGCTCAACAGCAAAATGCGGGTAAGCAGTTGGCAAGTAGTTAAAAAAAAAAACCTTTAAATTTTTTTTTTTGTCTCTCAATATGGTAATTTTGAACACTTTTTATTATTTATATTTTTTTTTTCATACTTTTATCAGAATAGAACAATGTTACCATAGTAACATTGTACTACTGGGGGGGGGGGGTGATCAGGGATTTTTCTTTACACTTTGCTTTGCAGAAGAAATAAGGATCATTTCACATTGCGATCACATGATCGCTGGGTCCCATTCACTGGGATATGCGGTGGACACAGCAGTTGCGGTGGGGGGAGCTTCCCCCTTGAGTACAGCCAGAGCGACGTACGGGTTTGCTTGTAGCTGCCGCCCAGCCACAATACATTGTGGGTGGGGGGGGAAGCAGTTACTTTCTGAACTTGTTTTAGTTTCTTTGTATGTACAGTGCTTTGAAATAGTATTCATACCCCTTGAAATTCTCCACATTTTGTCATGTTACAACCAAAAACGTAAATGTATTTTATTGGATTGGTATTGTATGTGATAGAACACAAAGTGGCACGTAATTGTGAAGTGGAAGGAAAATGATAAATGGCTTTCAAAATTTTTTACACATAAATATCTGAAAAGTGTGGCTTGCATTTTGTGTTCAGCCCCCTTTACTCTGACACCCCTAACTAAAATCTAGTGGAACCAATTGCCTTCAGAAGTATAAATACAGCTGTTCTGTGAAGCCCTCAGAGGTTTGTTAGAGAACATTAGTGAACAAACCCCATATTACGAACGCCGCGCATGCACCCAGTGCCTCCATGTCACCTCATAGTGCAAACGCCGCGTGTTCACCCAGCACCTCCATGTCACCTCATAATACGAATGCCGAGCGTGCACCCAGCGCCTCCATCCCCCAGTGCCTCCATGTCACCTCATAATGTGAACGCCGCGCGTTCACCCAATGCCTCCACGTCACCTCATAATGTGAACGCTGCACGTTCACCCAATGCCTCCACGTCACCTCATAATGCGAACGCCGCACATTCACCAAGCACCTCCACGTCACCTCATAATGCGAATGCCGCACATTCACCAAGCACCTCCACGTCACCTCATCCTCATACTCATTATGCGAACGCCGCACGTTCACCGAGCACCTCCACGTCACCTCATAATGTGATCGCCGCACGTTCACCCAGCACCTCCACATCACCACATAATGCAGACGCCGTGCATTCACCCAGCACCTCATAATGCGAACGTTGCGCGTTCACCCAGCACCTCCATGTCACCTCATAATGCGAACACCGCGCGTTCACCCAGCACCTCCATGTTACCACATAATGCGAACACAGTGCGTTCACCCTGCACCTCCATGTCATCACATAAGGACGCCGCATGTTCACCCAGCACCTCATAATGCGAACGTCGCGCGTTCACCCAGCACCTCCATGTCACCTCATAACGCGAATGCCACATGTTCACCCAGCACCTCCATGTCGCCTCATAATGCGAGCGCCACGTGTTCACCCACCACCTCCATGTCACTTCATAATGTGAATGCCACGTGTTCACCCAGCACCTCCATGTCACCACATAATGCGGACGCCACGCGTTCACCCAGCACCTCATAATACGGACACCGCGCGTTCACCCAGCACCTCATAATGCGAACGTCGCACGTTCACCCAGCACCTCCATGTCACCTCATAATGCGAATGCCGAGCGTTCACCCAGCACCTCCATTGGTACCTCATAATGCGAATGCCCCGCGTTTACCCACCACCTCCATGTCACTTCATAATGTGAATGCCGCGTGTTCACCCAGCACCTCCACATCGCCTCATAATGCAATTGCCACACGTCCTGTCACCTTATAATGCAGACTCTGTGCCTCCTGTCACCCAACACCTCCATTCCCCCTTAAGCACTGACCCCGCACCCCCAGGCATCAAACTCCCTCCATTAATCATCCTGTAACCCTTACACTGCCCCCTCTGTCGGCCACGTCCTCTTCCTTCACACTGCTGACACTACACTCGTTCTGGACATAACTGCAGTGAATACACTGAACCCCTGTACCGCCCAGATTCTCCCATGTCACTCATGCTGACATTCCACCCCACACATACTTAAGTCATGGTAACATAGTGTCAGTGAGATGTGAGTTCTTCCGGGTCCTGGAGTCACTGTATACCTCGCCCACTTCCTGTTCGTTGGCTGACACTGCTTCCGGGTCCCTGTAGTAGAAGGGAAGTAGTGTGCTGGAGTTGTACTGTGTGTGAGGTTGTGTGTTGAGCAGCAACGATGGGGAAGAGACAGCATCAGAAGGATAAGATGTGAGTAGAGGGGGCAGCCCTGCTGTCAGTGTCTATGTGTATATATTCACTTCTCAGCTTTGGTCCTGAGTTATCCCATGCCATAATATTCCACATCGCAGGTCAGCCTCCAGAACCTGTAGTACATAGAGTCCTGTGTGCACCGCCTTGTCACTGATTGGTCGGTCTGATTGGCTGAACTTCTCAGGGAAGGGGGGTTTGCCTGCTCCAAGTGGGTGTAATGTCTCAGAGAACTGATACTGAACTGTGTCCAGCATAGTATCCATACAGATCCTTAGATCCCTTTGTAATTCTTGGTTAGTTCAGTTGACATTAACCACTTCAGTTCCAGAAGGTTTTACCCTCTTCATGACCAGGGTGGTTTTATGCTGTTCAGCACTGTGCTACGGTATGGCTTTTTACTTTTTTTTTTTTTTCACCGTTATACTTGCCTTCGGTACGAGGCTGCAACTGTCCCCCGCCAGCTCTAAGTTCCTGGTCACACTGGATGCAAATTGGCTTGCGATTTGCATGCCATGCTACTTGCAAATCGCATGCCAAGTTGCACCCTATTGTCTACAATTAGATCGGTCATATCGGTGCAGTCCCGCCTTGGTCAGAGCCGCACCGATTTCTTAAGTAGTACATGCACTACTTTTGGTGCGATTTGCAGAGACATCTGAGTCAGATGTCTTGCAAATCGAACCTGAAATCAGCATGTCACCTGAAGTCGCACGATTTCAAAGTCGGGTTGATGTGACCGGGGGGTGGAAGGGTGAGAATTCCGATCACAGAGTTCTCACAGCAGCTCTGAGCAGAGAGCGGTGACTGTCAGTTGCTGCACCAGACTCTGGAGTGGAGTGCGGTCGCCTAGTTCTGGTGGGGCATCTGCAGATGTCCTCCCAGAAGCCTGCCCTGTGATAACGGTGTCCAAAGGATTGAGTTAAAGGGCCAATCACAGTGGCCCTTTACCATGTGATCAGCTGTGTCCAGTCACAGCTGGTCACATGTAAACAAACTTGCCGGTTATCGGCATTTCCTTTCCTCATGCGCTGTCGCTGTGTGAGGAAAGGAGAGCTGATAACCAGCAATCCTGACAAGACACATCAGAGTACATCAGTGAAGAAAAATTACTTACTGGCAATTTTATTACGGAAACTAAGAAAAACATTTTTTTCATTTGTTAAGCAAAAAATAAAAAAAACCCAGTGGTGATTAAATACCACCAAAGGAAAGCTCTATCTGTCTAAAAAAAAAAATAATGTGTGTACAGTGTTGCATGACCTGCAGATCGTCTGGCAGGGAGGAAGAACAGAGCTGTGGCTATGCTTACATAGGCACAGCTCTGTTGTGACAGGGGAAAGTGATCAATCCTGTGTCCCTGCAGGGCTGGGAACACAATCCATCACTTCCTCTTGTACCAGCACCATCTAGTGTTACACAAGCACATAGCTAGGCACACACACTTAACCTTTTGATCAAACTAGACATTAACCCCTTCCCAACCAGTGTCAGTACAGTGATCAATGTATATTTTTAGCACTGATCATTGTATTAGTGCCACTGGTTCCCACAAAGTGTCAGTGTAAAAATGTCCGCCAGTATATCATTCCCTCTATAAGTTGCTGAACCCTGCCATTACTAGTATAAAAGAAAAAACAATTACAGTATATAGTTTGTAGACGCTATACTGTTTGCGCAAACTAATCAATATACGCTTACTGGGACTTTTTTTTTTTTTAACCAAAAACATGTACCAGAATTATATTTCGCCCTAAATTTATGAAGAAATTTGATTTTTTTCTATTGAATATGTTTTATAGTAGAAAATTAAAAATATTGTTTTTTTTTTTCCTTCAAAATTGTCAGTCTTTTTTGGTTTATAACGCAAAAACAGCAGAGGTGATCAAAAACCACCAAAAGAAATCTCTATTTGTGGGAATAAGGACATAAATTTCATTTGGGGACAGCATTGAATGACTGCGCAATTATCAGTTAAAGTGATGCAGCACTGTATCGCAAAAAATGGTCTGGTCAGGAAGGTGGGTACATTTTCCAGAGCTGAAGTGGTTAAAGGTTCATTTTTTTGTAAAATAACAAACATGTTATACTTACCTGCTGTGTGCTGGGGTTTTGCACAGAGCAGCCTGGATCCTCCTCTTCTCGGGTCCCCTTGTGGCTCTCCTGGCCCCTCACAGCAAGCAGCTTGCTATGGGGGCATCCGCTGCTCCGTGTGTCCATTCTCACATGGAGCTGTGGCTTGGCCTTGCCCCCTCTCTCCTTATTGGCTGATTGGCTGTGATTGACAGCAGTGGGAGCCATGAGTTGGCAGAGACCTGTAACAGCTGAGGCTGTTGTGCACATTGATGGATCACGATGGGGTTCAGGTAAGTATTATGGGGGCTGGGGACACTGCTGCACACAGAAGGTTTTTTACCTTCATGCATAGAATGCATGAAGGTGAAAAACCTTGAGCCTTTACAACCACTTTAATTTTATTGTCATATCAGTAGATCATTTGGGCCCCTCTGGAAGCCTGCCCCAATAGCTCCCAGTTAGTAATCTCTTGATGCTAGGACACAGAAACACAGAAAAAGTAAAGCCCAACCCTTTCCACTTTTTTCTATTTCCTCATTGAGTAAAATTTTGTTTACTTCCCCTACTTGTGTGACCCATAAAAATTGTGGGCAAAGAGTGTTTTCACTAAGAGGAAGGCAAAAAAGAGAAATAAAAATGTGACAAGGGGCTCTAACCCTTAATTTAGCTTTGTTGGTTACTGCATGCTTTGCATTAATTCATCTGGTAAAGGGATGTGTTCCAACCTATTTTGATGCCCTCTGTTTTAACACACACTCCTGCTATATTGCAGTTGTATTGTACATGTTACAAAATACATTAACCACCTCCCGCCTGCCATATAGTAATATGACAGACGCAAAGTGGTTCTCTCGTTCTGGGAGGACGTCATATGACGTCCTCGGACATCCTCGGACACAGCGGATCACCAATCCACGGAAAGAGCCAAAAATGTTGGCTCGTCATGTGATCAGCTGTGTCCAATCACAGCTGATCACATGTAAACAGGGAAATTCCGGTTATCTGCATTTCTCTCCTCTCGAGAGATTAAATACCACCAAAGTAAAGCTCTATCTGTCACAAAAAATGATAAAAATGTCATATGGGTACAGTGTTGCATGACTGCGCAATTGTCATTCAAAGTGCAACAGCGCTGAAAGCTTGAAATTGGCCTGGGCAGGAAGGGGGTATAAGTGCCCTGTAGGCTAGTGGGTAAAAAACAACATTAATTGCTGTAGACGGTGCACAGACCTCTGAATGTAAAGCAAAGTGACAGGTTTGCGTTAAAGCGGTAGTAAACCCAACCCAATAGCTATCTTCATTTTTCTAGGTAGGAAAAGGTACCCAAAGTCAATATAGGGAGCACAAGCTGAAAGAAAAGTCTCAGGAACATCTTTATTTTAGGGTTATTATTCAGGTCATTTGATCAAATTGCTTCTCTGTTGGTCTGCACAGCCCTGTCCGGTGAGAGGGACTAAGCTGCAGCATGTCATGGTTCTTTTCCCAGGGCTGTGCAGAGCTGTATGAAGGGAAAATGATCATATAACATATATAAACAAAACATAAATTGCAGTAATTTTTTTTTTCTTGGAGCTCTTGCATTTTATTGCTCCATACGTTTAAAAAATGGTAGTTCATCAATAACAAAGTGCTTTCCTTTAGAGAATCTCACTGCTGGAGATGGAGCTGCTGTCAGTAAGGTGGAGCAAAATGTTTCAGCAGGCATTGCTGCCTGTGACATCGTGGGCAGATTGGAGTATCAAGGGGTAGTAAGTTGTACACAGACAAGGATTTGTTTATATTGAACAAGAGCATGTGCACTGGATTGGCCATGCTGCAGAGGATAGATGAGCCTGCAGGTTATTCCCACCGCAAGCCATGTAGCTCTATGTGGCTGCTGGAAGTATGGAGTGGCAGCTCTATGAAATCTCTGACTCATTTTAGTTAATGTCTACATGGGACTGAAAGCTTTGTCCAAAGCCCATGTGACAACCACTAGGCGAGCCATCACTGTGGACTAGAGCTATTGCTCTTCATACCCTGATGTACCAGGTATTTTCTTCACTCCTGGAAGCCTAAAAGAGCAATAGGAGGAGTGAAGAGAAAAGGTTGGTATGTGTTGCTGGGATGAGGGGTGGGGGGCACTAAAGAAATCTTGTTGCTTTACTCAGGATCAAACTTCAGGTTAGTATAATCTTACAGATTTTGGAATCTGCATTCGAGTGATATAAGAAGTCAGCAGGCAATTTCATTTCTGTCTGTTTGCACAAGAAGTGACTACTTGCAAACACCTGAGGAACATGGCAGAATGAACAGGGCAGATTCTTTTGCATGTCCAGATTTTTACATCTTTTTTACCAAGTGATTGTCACTTTAATCAAGGATAACATGTGCCACCTATCTGATGTACAGTGTGGAAATGGTGTGTGTGGATTGCAGGATTGCTGTACCAAAAGACAAATGCTTTGGCGGGTAAAAAAAAGTGTGTGTGTGTGTGTGTGTGTGTGTGTATATATTCCAGCATTAGTATTGAGTATTGAGTTGCTTGTCTAGCATTCTGCATGAAACTATAAATAGGCTTGTGTAGCAATGTAATATGTTCATTTTCACGCGAAAGTTATCATATTATAAAAAATGTCTTGTGGTGTTTTCATAGGTACATCACCTGTGCGGAGTATACACACTTCTATGGAGGGAAGAAACCAGGTATGATCTGTATAGAATGTCACTGTGTGTGCATTATACTTCATATCTGTTCAAAACAGGCTGATTGCTTTGATTTGGATTAGAGCAGAGTTTGGTCCTATCCTGGGCAGTTCATGTAAGTGTGCCGCAAAACGTTTAAAGATGAACTCAAGGCAAACTGTTAGATACAAATTTGTGAATTGTTTTATCTCCTAAATGATTTTTAATTCTGTCCAGCTGCTTTTGTGTTTCATACTCCACTGCCAGACAGCACAACAAAAAGGATGGTACCACTTTCTCTGTTAGCGATAAACTATTCCATTGTGTGGAGTTTCTCTAGATGCCATAAAGTGAGCCATATGGAAGGTGCACACTGTTGTCTTCTATTGATATGTGTCCCTGGATCCTTACTGTAAATATCTACTGTTTTCTGGTTTATTGTGCAAGCCCTGGCCTGATTTTTACATGGTCCTCCTCCTGTCTCTTGTAAAGGCTCTATGTACTTCCAGCGATGTATATTGGTTTTCAAATTACCTTTATCGTGTACATGTTTGGCCCCTACGGCTTAGCAAAATGACTTGTTTTACCTGTTCTTCATTTTGCTTTCTAACTGTATTGTATTGAAAATTTATAAATAAAGAATAACATAAAAAAGAATAAAAAATATATTATTTGATGATCCTGTCTTGTAGTGTGCAAAGTACATATAGCTTTAGTTGCTGTAGAAGTTGAAATCCTTTATGTTACAGCGTCCCCAAGCTCCAAAGAAAAAAGAGTTTGTGTCAGTTTTAATGCTGAACAACAAAGGTGACAGCAACACGTATGTACGGCTTACATATGTCTTGTGTGTTTATAAGCTTAGAATGGCAGCAGTGTCAGAACAAGGCTTTGATTTTTGATGTGTGTGTGCGTGTTCGTTCGTTTGGGGCATTGATCTGAAAGACATGTATGTGCAGCACTGCTGCAAGTACAGTTGTGTTGAGTGTTAAACTGACATGTCCTCTCCCCTGCATTCAGAGCGAGGGACCCTTGTGTTGGGAATGCACACGGAGGATGACACGTTAATAATACTCCTTGAAATGTTGTGGTTGGAAATCAGTGAGCAGAGTTTGTGGCGAGTTTTCACATACTGGATTTCTTCATCTGCAGCTACTAGTATTGTATGTATGTTGTACCCTATGGGACTGGAGCATCAAAAAATATTTGAAATCATAGTTCTTCTTGAAAGAATATGCTGGTACCACACCCACTCACCTGCTGATCAGACAGTAAAAATAGCATCAACATGCTACAGTGTGATCACCTCTGCTCTGTTCTCCTGTCAGCACATATCCATACCCTGTTCCAAATTATTATGCAAATGATATTTTTCTCAGTTACCTAAATAATTGATGTAAATAACAGTCAGCATAATTCTCATGTTATCAACTATTAAGAGTACAATTCAAATTTTATTGAACAAACCTCCTAATGATAACAGTATTTTTTTTAAACATAAAAAACTTACAATGCACTGTTCCAAATTATTACGCACAGTAAGTTTCAAAACACTTTATAGGTTGTAAAGAACTGAAAATTGTCAATTGTTGTGTTTGCAGCATATTTACTGAAATCAAAATCTATTTCAATCAAACTTTTAACAACATGTTAACTTTTTAAACATTTTACCAGGTCACGTTACATTTTAACATAGGACCCCTTATTTGATAGCAGCTTCACAAGTCTTGCATCCATTGAACTTGTGAGTTTTTGGACAGTTTCTGCTTGAATTTGTTTGCAAGGTGTCAGAATAGCCTCCCAGAGCTGCTGTTTGGATGTAAACTGCCTCCCACCCTCATAGATCTTTTGCTTGAGGATGCTCCAAAGGTTCTCAATAGGATTGAGGTCAGGGGAGGATGGAGGCCACACCATGACATTCTCTACTTTTATCCCCATAGCAGCCATTGATGCAGAGGTATTCTTTGCAGCATGAGATGGTGCATTGTCATGCATGAAGATGATTTTATTACGGAAAGCATAGTTCTTCCTTCTGTACCAGGGAAGAAAGTGGTCATTCATAAACTCCACATACTTTGCAGAGGTCATCTTTACACCTTCGGGGACCCTAAAGGGGGGGCCGACCAGCTCTTTTCCCATGATTCCGGTCCAAAACATGACTCCACCACCGCCTTGCTGACGTCGCAGCCTTGTTGGAACAGGGTGGTCGTCCACCAACCATCCACTACTCCATCCATCTGGACCATCCAGGGTTTCACGGCACTCATCAATGAACAGGACTGTTTGAAAATTAGTCTTCATGTATTTTTCTGCCCAATGCAGTCATTTCTGCTTGTGAGCATTGGTTAGTGGTGGCCGAATAGAAGGTTTATGCACAGTTGCAAGACTCTGGAGGACTCTACACCTTGATGTCCGTGGGACTCCAGAGGCACCAGCAGCTTCAAATATCTGTTTGCTGCAATGTAATGGTATTTTAGCAGCTGCTCTCTTGATCCGATGCATGGATCTGGCAGAAATCTTCCTCAATGTGCCTTTATCTGCACGAACCCATCTGTGCTCTAAATCAGCCACAAATCTCTTAATAGTGCGATGATCACGCTTAAGTTCTCGTGAAAGATCTAATGTTTTCATACCTCTGTCCAAGGCATTGAACTATTTCACTCTTTTCGGCAGCAGAGAGATCCTTTTTCCCCATATTCCTGTAAAATGTTGCTCTGCTTAATAATGTGGAACACCCTCCTTTAGTAGTTTTTCCTTAACTTGGGCTCACCTGCCAATCTAATTATCACAGGTGCTCGAAATTGTTTTCAGTGATCAAAAGAGCCCTGACACACAATGCCATCCATGAGTTAAACTGAAAAACAAAATATTTAATCTTTGTGACACTTAAATAGAATTTGCATAATAATTTGGAATAGGGTGTATGCAGCAGATCCTGATTTATTTATTGGTTTTCAAATAAAGACAGTACAGAAAAAACACATAAACCAACAATTGTCTGTCATGTCTCATCATGACATAACAGTAATAACATAGTCCGAGTTTATATATCGGATACAGTAAACCAAATCGTACTAGAAGTCAGCAAGACAGGCAAGCAGCATTTATTGTCCTAGATGTAGAAAAACTAGAGTAAGTGGGCTAAAAATCCAGTGGGCAGCAGAGCCTAATACTACTGCTACCCTCCCTTTTCCTAGTCTGAGTGCTGCTATACATGGCAGTCAGAGGCTAAAGCCAGGACAGATTGCAGTATGTGTGCCTGTTGTATGTGAGAAAATTCTAAAATAAACCTGCGCCCAGACAGTGCTAACTAAGGTGTTCACATGTTCTGAACAAACAGTAAAAGCATTTTAAAACAAGCTTTCATTCAAATTTCTAACTATAGGGATTGTGGAGAAATGTTTCAAAGTTTCAACAGCAGCACTGAAATCTCTGAAACCAGACTTCATAGTCCTCATTGTGATCTGAGAATAAAATACTTTACAGTACATGCAGGTAAGTTAGTGAGGACTTGCTTTAAAATCCTAAGCTAAAGGTCAGCAGCTACAAATACTGTAGATGGTGACTTTTGAAAATCAAGTACTTACCAGTCCATGGATTCCAGTGCAGTCTTCCCACAGCCAATTTTTCTTTTGCAAGTTCCCAGCTCCGCCATCTTGGATTTGGAAGCTGGCTGCGACTTCCTGATGAATCACAGTCAGCTCCCCACTGCACATTTGAAGATCGAGTGGCACAGTGAGACTCGTCCTGCAGCCTCCTGGGACATGTAACATCTCTCAGGAGGCTCCAGGTGGGGAGAGGGAATGGGATTGAGGAAGTGGGAGTAGGTACCAACAAAAAAACGTTTACTCCACCTAGGCAAAGATTAAGGAAGTGGGAGCTGGTACTGACAAAACAGCACTCGCTCCCCACCTCTCCCCAAAAAACTTGCAACTGTTACTGCTAGGAAGGAAGAGAATGAGCGGTATTTCACTTTTTGAGCCAAGTTCTGCTTTAAAGCTTGTTAAGAATATGCAAATAGTTTTGTTGTCCATATTCTGGGCACAAGTGCACTTTAAATTATTTTTAAATGTACTCTGAAGTACATTAAATGGTAAACATATGAAAGTTAGCTTTAATCCATAAGGGATTGAGCAATGCTCAATATATTCAAAATAAAACAACTCCATGTTGTATGGAATTACTTTTTAAAAGCACATGCTTTAAAAAATTGTCAGGAGAATTTCTTAAAAGTATTATGCTATGTAAACATAGTAAATGTTTTTTTTTTTTTTTCTTAACACTACACACATGAAAAATAAAACCATAAACATCTAACCTTTTTTTCTTCTGCAGATATTCCAAAGACAAACTTCAGACGTTTACCTTTTGACCACTGCAGGTATGGAATATACTTATATCAGGCAAGGTTCACATCTCTGCATGGCGAGAACGCATGCACAATTGCCCTGACATGCAGAGAAACGCACTGAACGTTTGCGGATTCCTAATGGCACCCCAACGCATTCACAACCCTGATTTTTGCGTGTTGAGCCTATCCCATATCTGGTGATAGTAGTGTCCCATAGTGGTGAAATGGCAAGGAGCAAGTACCGTAGGTAACTTTCCTGTACTCAGCGAGTGTTGATTGGTGATTCAATACAGATGCATTCCATTGACTGTTGTGTGAGAATAATGTCCAGTCTGAACGGTTTCCTGACAAACTGCATATTTTCCTTACTTTTAATGGCTGCCAGTTGTATTACTCTTACTGGTTCATGCTGTACCAGAGGTGCTACCCTTGTCCTTTATATTCCAAGGACCAGCCTGGTTACCTACCATAGATGATAGTGGCCCCTCTCTCTGTTTTATGCACCCTGTACTTTCGCTCCTTTTCCACTGCTGTTTCTTTCTAGAATCATTCATTTATTTGTTCCAGCACAAATCAGGCAGTCTCTCATTCAGTAAAGACTTTCCAGCCATTTTTTGTTTATGTGCGACTCCTGCATTTTTTCTTACACACTTAATTACATTATCTACCCTCTTTCCACAAAAGTCTTAACATGTACTGTTTTGGAGCTGCTTGCCTACAGTTGGGACTGTTCTTATATTTTCTTAAACAAAGGACGCCAGCTAAAAAGTTAATACATTGCTTGCTTTGCTGGATCCTGGGCTTGAACCCCGTTAGGAGCTCAGCATTTTTTCAGTTTCTGAGCTTGTCTTTTCTATATGGATCTTTTCTCAATATTGTTCTCACTACTGGTCCTACTTTTTCTTTCTCAATCATTGAGGGACACAGTCTTTAACCTTCGGGTTATACTGCCACCTACAGGAGTATTAAGAACTGACAAACAAGAAAAACTATAGGCCAGCCCAGGACAACTTCTCCTACAACTAGCACGTCTCTTACTAATGTCTTATGAGGATGGACATCTTTTCTGCAGTTCTGCTGGATTAAAATTTTAACTTGCTTTTTTTTTCTTCAGTTTTTTTACCTCCATTCATTCAATATGTTTCTCTACATTGCTGCTAGAACTTGTCTCCAAAGTCATCCTCAACCTAGTTGTGGAGAACCATATTCAAACCCCACTGGACTGGACATTGCAGGCAAAGTCCCAAGGTGACCTTTAGGCAGTGGGTTCCGCTTGGGGCACTTTTTAGAATCCCATTCTGGTGAAAGTTAATTGTGGAGCTCTTTCAATATTCAGAGCTACTTGCATTATCCTGTCATATCCTGTCCCACTCGCTTAGTGAAAAGGCCAGTTGGGCCAAGCAAGGGACCTACAGCCAAGTACCTTTATTCCCCATTCCTGACAGTTTTTACTGCGGAGGTGGTTATACTGGGACTGCGTGCTGATGTCATCTGCTGTTTGGAGTTTTGCACACATGTTCTGCTTTCTCTCTCTACCATACAGTATCAAAGAAGCATCTTCCTGCTGCTGCTCCCTCTTTGTTGCTTTGTGCTGCCTGCCTTTAGCGACTTTAGTCACCTGTGGCCTTCTGAACCTCATCTGCTACTGGCTGTCTGGATTTCATGAGTATCTAAGGCTTTGTCACTTACATTTAGTTTGTAAGTTGCCTTACCCTCACACAGTCACAACATATCAAAATGTCACAACATATTGAATTCTAGATACAGCAGGGATATTGAGTGCACTGTCCCGCTGTACTCTGTGCTTTGACTTTATAGATGTTTCAGTGGTATTCCAGGACCTATGTGCCAAAATTGAGGGATGTTGGATATAGGCTTTCTGGCCTCCAAGTTCAACAACAAACTGGACAAGTTTGTGTTCAGGTACAGACATCCTCTGGTGGAAGCAGTGGATGCTCTGGAGCCCCTTGTGGAATCAGTGCACCCTGATCTCTGCATTTCCTTCCCCAAAACTTCTTTTTTGTGTGTTTGCAGGATTTAAATGGAGGGCACTAGAGTGATGCTCTTTGCTCCAGACTGGCCCGGGCATAAGGTTCTTTGAAAGCTCTTTGAATTTCTGTTTCTCTGTTGCATTCTTGGGCCTGTTAGCATTTGTCTGCTTTGTTGGCCACCTATCAGTTGGACTAGATGTCCTAGCCTTCCTTTGTCTCCCCCCTCCCCCCCCCCCCCCCCCCCCCTTACAGGCTTCCAGTAAAATTCAGTTCTAAGGTTACTTCTCAAGGCTTGCTGAAGCCTATTAAAAGTTTGTTTAAAGAAGACAGCCACAACTGCTACATTGCATATGATTGGTGCAAAACTGACTGATGCTTGCTGAAAGCCTTGTGAATGCCTTGCATTAGACATGGTTGCTGAGACTAACATTTATAGCCTGACACTCATTCAAACAATACTATCTTTCTAGAGCTGTCTTACTGTCTGACTTCACTATGTCATGATCTTCTCACTTTCAACAGGTTGGGTTTCTAATTTTTTGGCTCTTTAAAGTGGTTGTAAACCTCAGACATGAAGTATGGGCAAAGCATATCCCTATATAGTGTGTACTTTTCTCCATTAGGAGCACAAAATGAAATTTCTGTCTGTTGTTTTGTCCCTCTGCTATCAGCATGAATAACTTCTGACAAGTTTTTCCTGACACCAAAAGAAAAAAGGTGACGGGGAGGGACCTCCAGCAGATTGACAGCCTCAGCTCTGTTCCTGTGAGCTGTGTGAAGGGGGGGTGTGTCTCTTCTCTCTAATCTACTCTCAGAGCTCTCCTCACTGATGTAACTTCAGCTCCCCACCCTCTGCTTTCCAGAGCTGAGAGGTCCTGTGTAAATTCTGCACTTTGAATGGGTGTCTGAGATAGATGGCTATAAACAGGAACAACTTGTGTACAAGGATTTGTTTAATCTCCTTGTATCACCTGAGGCCAGTCACCTCACTGGGTATATGTAAGGGTTTACAACCACTTTAAAGAGAAATCGTTATTGGGTAGGCTGCATTGTTTGGGCAGCCCCTCCTGATTATTAGCATTTGTCCTATCTCGCACCTCCACATCCAGAGAAGTAATATTCAGCCTACAAGCTCTCATGGTGTGCCTTGTCACTTAGTTCGAAAAAAGAAGCGCCTCTAAGTGCAGTATAAGACAACTTTAACAAGTAACCAATGTAGAACAACTCACATTTTGTATTATAAAAGCAAGCTCAACTGGGTGAGAAGACGGCTGTGTCCTTGCTGTGTCAGCCGCATCCGCACTATGAAGACCGTGGATGTACCAAGAAAGTCGGTACGTTGTCTTCTACTCCACTTAGAGGCGCTTCTTTTTTCTATCATTCTACACAGAGCTTGCTACTACTACATGAGGCTTGTCCTAGTGCTATATGGACTTTTTAGCCCTATATTGGACTTTTGGACTTTTATGCTTTTATAATTCATAGGAGCTGGATGATTTGCTCTTTGCGCTGCTTGTCCTCTGTATTGAGTTTCTTGTCACTTCGTTCACCTTTGTTTTCAGTTCCACAACGCTTCTTTACATTTCTACATGTTTCCTATTGCCCAACAGGGTTGTGTGGAGTTGCCTCTTTGCCTCTGCAGCCCTCAGTCTTTCTGATTTTCTCTGAGAATTTTACACTGGGATTGCAGATTTCCCTTTTCTCATTCTCCTAGTGCAAGCCCCTCAGATGAGTAGCACAGAGTTCTCAACATCTCTAGCTGTTTTTCTGCTTGACTGGTTTGGCCCCATAGTGCTTAATGCCTTCATGTAGCCCATGCATAGAATTTCCCTGTCTCAGTTTTAAAGTGTTACTAAACCCAGGACCCTGCATTCACTCTATCTGGTCTCCCACAGTACACAGAACATGGAAATGCAGTTATTTTAGTAAATATAAACTGCTAAATACCTTTTCTCCTCAGCAGTTAGAGCAGTCTTGTGGTTTCTGTTGGTGTCCAGCCCAGCTCTAGCTAAAGCTTGTAGAAGTAGTTTTCTTTCTGTTCTAGGAGGATGGAAATCCCCCTGACCTCTGTCTAGACAGTGCAGATTGGCCCTGTGCTGATCACATGCACTCTCCCAAGAAGAAAAAACCTCTCTAGCAATGTACACCAAACTGAACATGTGCATGCCTACGGTTCAGTCTGGAGATAAGTGGTGGTCACTTGAAAAAGGGGAGGAACAAAGAAGAAAGGATCAAACAGCCTATTTACACAATGCAGAGGATTAACCCCTTAGGTTCCACAGTGAGTATATCAAGCATGCTTTACTGCATATACAGACTGATTTTACTGTTGTGGGTTTAGTAACACTTTAAGCTCATCGAAGGCTGCTAGCTAGTTGTTTTCTTTGAGTTTCTACTCTTTTGGTTTTAGCAGCATCCTAGCTCCCCCCTCCCTATCAGTCACTACTAAATGGAACTTGACATTTTTCTGCTGGTTATTTATTCTTGTTGTTGTTTTGTGCCTGCCTGCTGCTCTGACAGGTTTCTGTTTGTTGGCTGTTTGACAGGTCATATTAATGGTGGCATCCATATCCTCTCTCTGTAGATGCTTTTGTCACTTGTCACCAGTCTTTTCTCTGCCATTTCCATTTTTGTTTGTTGTCCTTCAGGCACTTGGGTTCTTAAAACCAGTTTGTCTGGATCATTGCTGTGCTGATTGGGTTGCCAGCTTTTCTTTAGTTTTTCTACCCATTTTTAGGGTTACTTTAGGATGTCCCTGGTTATAACATGTGTCTCCATGTTACTGTAGAGGAATAGAATTTTTTTTTTTTTGTTGTTGAGTTTGAGGAAGATCATGAATCCCACAATTGGCTTATAGTTCCCAGGTACATGGTTTCCATTTATGTCTATTTGCATAACTTTTTTTTTCTCTTTGCTTTTCTGTTTTCTTGCATATACTGTAGAGAGCAGCTTTGTGTTTTAGTGTCCAGCCTCCTTCTGGCAGGAAGTATGTCTTACTTATCAGACACACTGGGTACTTTGATGAATGTAAAGGATAAGTTCACCTTTTGTAATATGTTACACCCATATTCAGAGTGTAACATGTTACAATTGTACCAGCCCCCGTACCCCCCAATGTGACCACTAGCAGGGGATTATTTATCCCTGCTAGCTGTCACAATTAAAAAAAAAAAAAAAAAAAAAAAAAGAAAATCGGCCGTGCGGGGCTTCATCCAGCTGCGTCCGTGTTCTGTGAATAAGAAGACTACAAGCTCTGTGGTACTCTGTTGTTTCTTCCTGTCAGTGTAAAACTGTCTGCTCGAACGAGGTACAGGCAGACAGGTTACCTGAAAGTCAGCAGCAGACCTTGCTTTCCTGGCTCCTAAAACAAAAAATAGTAAATGCACATTTGTCTTACTTGCAAAATAAGTCTATTGATTATATTTTGTTAAAAGATAAACTTGTCCTTTTTAAGTCTTCCTCTTTTTTTTTTTTTTTTTTTTTTTTTTTTGAGCCTTACTACTATGCAAGAACATAGAGAACAAGAGAGGGCTTTTATCTTTTCCCCTAAAAACAGTAGTTTTGCTTATATATATTTTAAGTAATTGGTTATATAAGAATGCCTACTTAATCACTGATTCTTCAGATTCTGATTTGAGTGATGTCACATTTTGTGGATTAGTGCACTCATCTTTGATCACTTTGGAACTAATATACAGTATTTTAGATTGTTAAGGGACTTGGATTTCAAATTCTACTACTCCTTTCAGTTTGTCCTTGCAGCCCTTTGAATATCCAGTCTGCACACCAGATGGAACAGTTTTTGATCTCTTGTAAGTACATTTTGTGATTGCTAACCTTAATTGTCTGTAACCAGTTATCTTTACATAAACACAGTAACATTCTTGGTGAATGGGTACTCTATTTTACCAATAAAATGTTACCTAGAGTCTGGGCACTAGTCAGATTTCCATAATTGTTTTGAAAATTAAAGGCATGTATGGATCACATCAGATATTTCATAGCAAATCTTTCAGCTGTGATAAAAACCTTAATATTGAAGGGATTTTCAGCAATATTGAAAATCTGAGCTTATTTTCCTAAGCTTCTGGAGTGTCCCAAGCATATTTGTGTTCTAGGGAGAAACCTTATACATTAACAAACATATTTGTGGTTAATATCACCCAAGTACACTACTCAAAAAAATTTAAAAGAACACTTTGAAAACACTTTGAAAACACATCAGATCTCAATGGGGACAAATATCGTTCTGGATATCTATATTGATATAGACTGAGTAATGTGTTAGGAACGTAAGGATGCCCCATTGTTTGATGGAAATGAAAATGGTCAACCTACAGAGGACTGAATTTAAAGACACCCCAAAAATTAAAGTGAAAAAATTATGCTGCAGGCTAGTTCATTTTGCTGAAATTTTATTGCAGCAACTCAAAATGATACTCAGTAGTTTGTATGGCCCCCACGTTCTTGTATGCATGCCTGACAACGTCGGTGCATGGTCCTAATGAGATGACGGATGGTGTCCTGGAGTATTTCCTCCCAGATCTGGACCAGGGCATCACTGAGCTCCTGGACAGTGTGAGGTGCAACCGAAACATGATATCCCAGAGGTGTTCTATTGGATTTAGGTCAGGTGAGCATGGGGTCCTTTCAATGGTATCAATTCCTTCATCCTCCAGGAACTGCCTGCATACTCTCGCCACATGAGGCCGGGCATTGTCATGCACCAGGAGGAACCCAGGACCCACTGCACCAGTGTAGGGTCTGACAATGGTTCCAAGGATTTAATCCTGATACCTAATGGCAGTCAGTGTGCCATTGTCTATCCTGTAGTGGTCTGTGCGTCCCTCCATGGATATGCCTGCCCACATCATCACTGACCCACCACCAAAACAGTCATGCTGAACGATGTTACGGGCAGCATAATGTTCTCCACTGCTTCTCCAGACCCTTTCACGTGTGTCACATGTGCTCAGGGTGAACCTGCTCTCATCTGTGAAAAGCACAGGGTGCCAGTGGTGGACCTGCCAGTTCTGGTGTTCAATGGCAAATGCCAATCAAGCTCTATGGTACCGGGCAGTGAGCACAGGACCCACTAGAGGATGTCGGGTCCTCAGGCAACCCTCATGAAGTCTATTTCTGATTGTTTGGTCAGAGACATTAACACCAGTGGCCTGCTGGAGGTAATTTTGTAGGGCTCTGGCAGTGCTCATCCTGTTCCTGCTTGCACAAAGAAGCAGATACTGGTCCTGCTGATTGGTTAAGAACTTTTTACGGCCCTGTCCTGCTCTCCTAGAGTAACTGTCGGTCTCCTGGAATCTCCTCCATGCTCTTGAGACTGTGCTGGGAGACACAGAAACCTTCTGGCAATGGTATGTATTGATGTGCCATCTTGGAGGAGTTGGACTGCCTGTGCAACCTCTGTAGGGTCCAGGTATCCGCTCATGCTACCAGTAGTGACACTGACCCTAGCCAAATGCAAAACTAGTGAAAAACAGTCAGAAAAGATGAGTTGGGAAAAAATGTCAGTGGCCTCCACCTGTAAAACCATTCCTGTTTTGGGAGTCTCCTTGTTGCCCATCTAGTGCACCTGATGTTAATTTCATTAACACCAATGCAGCTGAAACTGATTAACAACCCCTTCTGCTACTTAACTGAACAAATCAATATTCCAGGAGTTTAATTGACTTGATGCTATACTCTGATTTAAAAAGTGTTCCTTTATTTTTTTTTTGAGCAGTGTACTATTTTTCTTGAAGTTTTAAGAGGCTGTAAGTTAGGGTGGATCTGCTAGCCAAATTTCTTTTTAGTGTATGTGTGTTTTAGATAGGGTTGAGTACAATGCAATCATCTCTTTCCTGCCACTCGTTGCTGTGTTCGTGAGACAGGTAACTGGTGCTTCATTGTTCAGGGGCAAAGAAATAGAGGGGTGTAAGGTTTATGTCTCAAGTAAATAAGTCAAAGGCTGAGCAGTAAATAGGAAAACAATTTCAGATGGGGCACAGATGACACTTTTCTGGGTAGGAGAGGTAATATAATGCACCTTATGGTGTATTCTTCTTAGGCATCCTTTTCCGTTTTAAGATACAATGAAGGAATTTTTTTTTCACTTTACCTAGTTGTAGACTTTGGGCATGCTAGACATAAAAACGTTACTGTACACAGGACATATGTAGACATCCTGTGTCTCTACCCTGCTGCTGGGACTTCCCCTCCGATTATACAGCATTGTTGTCTTTGATTATTCAAAGCTGGAATTACTGTATACTCAAAGATGTCTGCAGCTGTCAAAAAAGCAGGTTGAATCAGTGTTTTCTAAACAACACTGCTCCAGATCTCAATATAGAAAGATACAAAGTAACATAGTTTGTATTTTGTATCATTTTGTTCATTGAGCTACAGAAGGAAGGGATGAACTCTGATTCCTAGTCTGTATTAAGAGAAATATCTAACTTTCTGTAACAAAATTGTTGAAAATGCTAATTGCCTAGTAGATGTGCTGGTCCTCTGCTTTCACTACACTTATCCCCTGAAACAAATATGCAGATATTGATTTCAGAAATTATGGTCTGCATTGTTCCATGTCAGTTCCTCAAAGTATTAAAGACACTAAGCGCATTTTACAGCAAGGCAATTTGCATTTTATAAAGGCGAAATGGCACAATGCAATTTGTTTTGTATTATAGGTTTTTTTTTAAAGGAAGCTTGTCATGAGAGAAAAAAGAAAAATATTGCTGGCCTTCTTCTGTAAATGTTAGTTGCTTGTCTGATATACGCAATATGGGTTCAGTACTTTCTAAACTAATTTATCAGTTGTAAGCGTTTAATTCAGAAAATTCAGAGATCCAGATGTTTTATTATTGTTCCAGGTCGGTGACTTAAAACGTTATGAAGACCATGAGTCAACATAACACAAGACAACTATTGTTTTCTAGAGAGGTCAGCAATGGCACCCTTCATATTTCTGCTATAAGAGGTTTCTTTTAAAGCTGAATTCCAGGGAAACACCTTGCGTTCTCTGCAGATGTCTTTCCTCCACTGACCACTGCTCTGGCATGTGGTTCTTGCCCCTGGAATCGTCCTGAACAATGCAGGACTGCTGGTCCTGCATTGTACTAGATGATGTCGGAGGGCTGTGACTTTCCTAGTGAAGGAAAGAAGCTTGGAGGGACCAACTGCACAAAGAGAAGGAAGCCCATGGGAGTAAGGAATAAACGTAAAATGAGCAGTTAATCCCTGCAGTGAGAAGGGGGGCACTCTGCAAGGGTAAATATGTTTTTTTCCCTGGAGTTCAGTCTTGAGGAAAACCAGGAAAATAAATTTAAATGTGCAGAATTGACTAGAAGATAGATGATAAACTGTTAAAACATACCTTTTACTGAGAAATTGGTGTAGACCAGCAGTGTGTGAAGTCCCCTGCTGGTCCTCCACTTCTTTGTAGTGAAGATTAGGCATATTCCCCCATCCCCTTTCACAATGCAGTTCAGGTAGGGGAGAAGGCATATGTATGTTTAAGCAATTAGGTACTCTGGGAAAGTATCTATATGCATAGCCGGTTTGGGGGATTTGTGCATGGTTTAATGTGAGTGCTCTGCTGCTTATCACTTTTATGTATTTTATAAGCAGCTGCCTAACCTCATCCGTGACAGTAAAGGTGCCAGAGTGGCATACGAGTGACCCAGTAGGCTAATATTCCCAGAAAACTGTGCTTTCAGGAACCAAGATATTGATCAGTGGCAAGGGAGCCTGGTATACCACAAGGTATAAGAGATCGCCTTTATAACCTGACACATGTCATATAGACATGAATTCAGGCTAACGGGGATACAGACATTCGTAAAAACATGATTGAGGTTTTACCCTTCACAAACCGTCAAACTTAACTTTCAACACTTAAACCGACCTTAACAGGAATATAAGGACTAAGTGCATTTCTGATAGGTCAGTGGGTGTTTTTCAGTGCTTCCAAGATCTTTATAGGTGCAGTTTGCCTTTAATATTTTTGCCTGCAGAGCATTGCACCCATGATCTACTGACCGGGAATGAATATAAGGCTCCTGCAGACTCTGCCTCCAGCTTGCCTGCTCGTACCTCCAAATGGGCAGACAGTTACAAAGCTGGAGGAAATGTCAATGATCTATGAGGGTGCTCATTAGCCCCCTCGCAGTCCATTGAGAACTACAAGCTTTCTGCCGCAGCAGCAGATATGATTTTTAGTTCATTGTCTCTCAGATTGCTGATATGGGGGGTGGTTACAGTGCAGTTTTTAGGTGGAGGTGGCGTAGGCTTCTCTGAATAAATGGGTTTTCAGAGATTGCCTAAAAGCGGACAAGGTAGGCATTAACCAGACATGGATGGGGGAGGTTCTGGACAAGTTCAATAGGTAAGCATGGGAGAAGGTAACAAGGGAGCTAGACAGAAAGTAATTTTAGGCATCTTGTGTAGGATGTTTACAAGTTTAAAATCTAGTACATGTTTCCTTTAACACTTAAAGCCAAAACCCCAGCCTATTCCCCAGCGTTACCCGTAACCCTTAAATATAGACTTGCCTTACTGGGCATTTAAAAAAATGCAGTTTCATGCCAAAAAACTATAGGCTCCCAAATCCCAGCACCAAAACCAGCTGTTTGTTGCATTTTTTACACTTTAACATGTAATATGAGTTCTGATTAATGATCTTAATTATGCGCGATTTTGATTTGACCTTCTGATTATTTTCCTGCAGGAGTATTGTCCCATGGATAAAGAGATATGGAACTAACCCTATCACAGGAGAGGTTTGTTTCTGTCAATGTCTTCTTTATATATTGTTAGAACGATGCTGGTCATTTTGTTCCTTCTCTCTTTAAATACTCTTCAACGGTAAAAACATAATCGGTTTGAATCAAGTTAACTAAGATATTAACGGATAAAATATTTATGGGCGTTTTTTTTTTTTTTTTTTAATGTGCAAGTCCTGCCAAAACTTTTTGTTTTTAAGTTTTTTTTTTTTTTTTTTTTTTTTTGTTTTTTTTTTGTGTGGTGGTGGATAAGAATCTGTCCGTTTTTCCAAACTCTTCCTGCAGTGAAAACATTAGAGCTTTCCCCTAAGATTGAAAGTGATAACACATTTCCCCACAGACAGAATTCTGCCAGAATCTTCCCAAATCTATTAAAAGCTGATAAGTATTGATTAGAGAGTCCGACCCATTCCCTATCCAACGTGGGACTCGTCAAGGCTGCGCCCTGTCCGCTCTCCTCTTTGCCCTAGCCATTGAACCTCTCGCACAAGCGATACGCAATAACTCCGACATCTGGGGACTAGAGTTAGGAGCCCACCATCACAACAAACTGACCCTTTTGGCAGACGACATACTCCTGTTTATGACGACTCCACTCATCTCTGCCCCCAACCTTTTGACCACGCTTGAACAATTTTCAGCTATCTCTGGTTTGCAAATCAATCCCTAAAAATCTAAAGCACTTAATATCTCCATACCTCTTCCTGCCCTCTTACAACTCCAAGACACCCTCCCGTTCTCTTGGTCTATGCACCATATCCCCTTTTTAGGCATCAAGCTTACCGCCGACCTGTCCGCGCTCTTTTGCTCTAATTACCCACCCATGTTAACACACCTAACCAAGCTTATGCCTCCCTGGTCTTCCTTGCCCCTGGCATGGATGGGGCGCATTACTGTTGTTAAAATGTCTATCCTGTCCAAGATTAACGATCTCTTTCGAGTTCTTCCCACACCTGTCTCATCCTATTACTTTAGGATTCTCCAACGCTGAACTCAGTCCTATATATGGGGCAAAACTAGACTACGAATCTCCAAGACAATTCTTTTTTCCTCTAAGACTTTAGGAGGTCTGAACCTTCCCAACTTCACTGAATACTATCAGCCGGCACACCTTGCTCAACTCCCTAAATACCACACGGTTCACGAGACCCCCCCCCCTCTGGGTTGCTATCGAGGCCATGGACTGTGATCCACTATCAGCTGCAAATTTATTGTGGCTTCACCCGAAAGACCGTCGCACAATCCGAAACCCAGTCACCAAACCGTTTATCCCTCTGGGACACTCTCAAGACCCGCTTCGGCTTGCGTTCTCCTCATAACCCTCTTCTGTCCTTTCTTCACAATCCTGCATTTACACCAGCCTGGACATCCCCTTCCGCATTCCACAACTGGTTTTGCAACGACCTTACAAGGACACACAGATTTTACAACCACAGATACATTCAAGTTGTTCCCTTCTTTGAGTGAAACATATACGGCCTTCCAGAGTCTGAAATATTTAGATACCTACAAGTTAAACACTTTCTCACTCCCAACCTGTGGATTAACCCCACTACACTGGCTATGACCACATTTGAACGGACATGCAAGAATGACCCACACACTAGGCCTAATATCCACACTCTATTCCCACCTTTTGGCCCCACCTTCGCGTTCAATACAACGTCAATAGATAGGAGAGAGATCTCGGTCTTTTTTTGATCCCTCCTGGGAAGATATCTGGTTAAATACTAAATCGGCTTCACAAAACATAGGGGCCTTAGAAACAAATTATAAAGTGCTCATGAGATGGTGTATGGTTCCCATTTGGATAGCTAAATTTCTCCCTACCTACCCTTCCACATGTTTTAGAGGTTGCTCCGACATGGGCACCCATTATCATATATGGTGGGATTGCCCCACGCCTACCACCTTCTGGAAAGAGATTTTCCATCTTCTTTCCACCATGCTCCCCTACCCCTTACTCGCAGACCCAGCTACAGCCCTCGGACGTCCCACCTGCACGTCAAACTCCTTCTGCACGGCCTGACTGCGGCAAAAAAACAAACCATCGCTAAAGCATGGAAAACCCCTCACCTTCATATCTTAAAGGTCAAACACAGGATTACTAGGGCCATGATCCATGCTAAGGTTGAAGCAGTTCTTCAAGATAAAGTGAGCATATATGAACAGCTTTGGAAACCTTGTGTGGAACACTTCCTGCCTTCTGAGTTCGATGAATCCTTAGCCATGTTACCCTTGGGTCATGCCCAATACCAGGGCTGCATCTTCCCTCGGGGCTACTTTGATATTCTCTACGACTCTTTATTGGCCACTTATACCCTACTTCTCCCACCCCCCACGCTACTTTACACCTCTACACACATTTCACCTATACTCTCGTCCTTCGCTCCCTCCTTCCTTTCCTCCCTCCTCTTTCCTCCTCCCCCTTTCCTCCTCCCCTTTCCTCCTCCCCCTTCCTCCTCCTCCCCCTTTCCTCCTCCCCTTTCTCTCCTTCCCCCTTCTTCCTCCTCCCCTTTCCTCCTCCCCCTTCTTCCTCCTCTTCCCCTTCTTCCTCCTCCTCTTCTTCCTTTTCCTCCCCCTTCCTCCTCCTTTTTCCTCCCCCTTCCTCTCCCTTTTTTCCTCCCCCTTCTTCCTCCTCCTTTTCCTCCCCCTTCCTCCTCCTTTTCCTCCCCCCTCTCCTCCTTTTTCCTCCCCCTTCCCCTTCCTCCTTCCTCCCCTCTTCCTCCCCCTTCCTCCCCCTTCTTCCTCCCCTTTCCTCCCCCTTTCTCCTCCTCTTCTTTCTCCCCCTTTCTCCTCCTCTTTTTCTCCCCCTTTCTCCTCCTCCTCCTCCCCCTTTCCTCCCCCCCTTTCTCCTCCTCCCCCTTTCTCCTCCTCCCCCTTCCTCCTCCCTCCTCTTCTTCCTTCTTCTTCCTCCCCCTTCCTCCTCCCTCTTCTTCCTCCCCTCCTCCTCCCTCCCTCCTCTTCTTCTTCTTCGTCCCCCTTCCTCCTCCCTCCTCTTCTTCCTTCTTCGTCCTGCCCCTTCCTTCTTCTTTCTCCCCTTCCTCCTCCCTCCTCTTCTTCCTTCTTCCCTCCCTCCTCTTCTTCCTTCTTCCTCCCTCCTCTTCTTCCTTCTTCCTCCCTCCTCTTCTTCCTTCTTCCTCCCTCCTCTTCTTCCTTCTTCCTCTTCTTCCTTCTTCCTCGATTGGTCACTAACGACACATCATTATGCCAAATGAGGTGTTCACCTCCTTATTGCCATTGCACAAACACCACACTAGTCATACTATCCCTTTATTGAATCGCTGCATTAACCTACACATTTCATGATCATCGGCAGCAACTCCGTTTTAAGCAATGTTTAAAGATGATCTTTCCTACTATACGGTTTTTGCCTGTTAAACCCCTATGCTTGTGACCTCTTGATTTGTAACCGCTAATGTTGTTATGCTGTAATACTAGCTGGTTACCTTACAATAAAATATTTGAACAAGAATTGGTTAGAGAGTTCCCCTTTAATTAAACATGCTTTCCCATTGTTCTCTAGCCATAGACATGAAACGGTGTTTAGACATGTAATTGCAAGCACAATGTAAATGACAAGATATATATATATATATATATATATATATATATATATATATATATATATATATATATATACATTTTTTAAATTTTTTTGCAAATGGTGAACAGTAAAAAAAAAAAAAATACACGAAGTACACTGAATTTTTTTAAAAAAAAAAAATGCTGCAATACTTACCTTCATTCCAAAGCTGCCTCCAACTGTAAATCCTATCCACCATTGGCTGTAAACCAAACGGTAGGCAATTGCGGCTATACACATTATCTCTGTGTGGATATGAACTCTTTGAAGCAGCTCAGTGAGACTCCATTCTGTTGGGATTGAATTTTGTAATTCCACAATTATTCTTTATAATGAATGGTGTTGTGAGGAAAACCCAACTAAATAATAAAGCTTTAATAGGAAATGTTTCAGTATATCACTGATGTAAAAATCACAGTGATAAAAAAAAACAAATTTTGTTTGATTTACAGTGGATAAAATAGGTATTGAACACATCACAAATTTATTTAATACTTCGTACAAAATCCTATGTTGGTAAAGACCGCTTCAGGACACCTCCTGTATGGGGAAAATAGTCACATGCATTGCTCAGGTGTGATTTTTGTCCCATTCTTCCCCACAAACAGTCTTCAAATCTTGGAAGGTTCCGTGGGCCTCTTCTATGAAATCTGATGTTTTAGTTCTTTCCATAGATTTTCTATTGGATTCAAGTTAGGTCATTGGCTGGGCTATTCTAACAGCTTTATTTTCTTTCTTTGAAACCAATTGAGAGTTTCCTTGGCATTGTGTTTCGGATCATTGTCTTGCTGATATGTTCACCCTCGTTTCATCTTAATGATTCTGGTAGATGGCAGCAAATTTTTATAAAAATGTCTTGGCACATTTTTCCTTTCATCCTTCCTTCAATGATATGAAATTTGCCAGTACCGTATGCTGAAAAACAGCCCCACACCATGATGTTCCCAACTCCAAACCTCCCTGTTGGTATGGCGTTTTTGGGGTGATGTGCAGTGCCATATGACCTCCAAACATGGTGTGCATTATGGCATCCAAAGAGTTCAACTTTGGTCTCATCTGACCACACTATATTTTCCCAGTATTTCGCAGGCTTGTCTAAATGTTGTGCAGCAAACTTTTAACGAGGTTCAACATGCTTTTTCCTCAGCAATGCAGTCTTGTGTGGTGTGAGCGTGCATACAGGCCATGGTGGTTGAGTGCATTACTTATTTTCTTTGAAATAATTGTGCCTGCTAATTCCAGGTCTTTCTGAATCTTTCCACAAGTAGTCCTTGGCTCTTGGACAGCTCTTCTGATAATTCTTTTCACTCCTCTGTTAGAAATCTTGCGAGGAGTACCTGGTTGTGACTGGTTTATGGTGAAATGATGTTCTTTCCACTTCAGGATTATGGCCCCAACAGTGCTCACTAGA